TCTTTTTCTTTTCCGAAAAACCTGGTGGTAATCTGACTTCATACGTTTCAATATGTGGCTCTAAATCCGGTTCATTACCTTTTTTTATTACAGGAGAAACTGGAGGTAGTTGGGGTAAGTTCGATTGAATATTCGCTTCTTTTTCCGGTCGATTAATCTTTTCCTTTTCCGAAAAACCTGGTGGTAATCTGACTTCATACGTTTCAATATGTGGCTCTAAATCCGGTTCATTACCTTTTTTTATTACAGGAGAAACTGGAGGTAGTTGGGGTAAGTTCGATTGAATATTCGCTTCTTTTTCCGGTCGATTAAAATTTTCCTTTACCGGTATCAATCTCTTCTGACATTGATCAAATCTATCCTGAAGGCCTTTGAACAGTTGAGACTTGCACGCGAAACCCCCGAGCTGGTGAATGGACATGTAATCCTGACAATTAATTGTTCCGTCTCCATTACAATCCTGCAATATTGAAAATATACATATTAAAAAGACAAATATACTTCGCACGAATAGAGGGAAATATAATATTTATCGTTATGTACAGTACAACGATTAATCATTGGTAATGAAAAACGATTCTAAGCGGAGTTGGTTATATATGTTTTAAATTTCCGTAATATTTACGATTTTCGTTAAAACTTTGATATTCAAATTTTTATAAATACATAAAAGAAAAAAAAAATCATTTAATTCAATTTTTTCTTGTTGACCGTTAATAATAATTTAATAACAATTTTGAATGGACATCTTGTTAAATTTTCAAGCATTTCTGTTTTAACAATTTTATCTACTGAATAAAATTTACATAAAAACTGAAAATAAAAATGTTTATAAATAACTTAAAAAAGGATCAAATATTATTAAAATTTTACCACGTTTAGAGAAAGCAAATGTATGTCTTAACAGAAGTATAACAAAAATAAATTGGTTGCCCTGTTCAGAATCTAAAACGAAATTGAAAATAACAAAAGCATTATTTTCGTACATTTTCCAATATTTTTTACGTTTTTTCACAGTTTTCCCCAATTATTTTGAAACCAATTTGAAAATAAAAAAAACGACCTATGTGTACACTAATTAGAAAAATTACTTCACTTGAAATTTAATGCAAGATTTCTGGTGAAAATTGTGTACACAATATAAATAAATAAACATGATTGTAAAACCAATACATTCTTCGGTTAACTCACAATTTAAAAATAAACAAAATAAGACTGTGGTTAATTTGGAAGGCACATTTGCAAAATGTTCAACTGTCTTGTGGTTAATTTTATTATAGAATGTATTACAAAAAGTGTGTTATTAAAAAATATTGATCGTTCTATTTAACATCTAATATTTGATAAGTAATAAGTACTACTTTTTTCAAAATAAATAAGTGGGAATTAATGTACCAACGATTACATGTTTAATAATTTAGCCTTATAAATGAATGTAAATAGTACAACAGTATTTCGGCCAGGTATTTTTTTGAGTATACTGCCATAGTTAATCTGGAATAATGTGAGTGAAATAAGTTATTTTTCTAATTTATGACTATTACTTATAAGACTAATTGGTGCACTGTGATATTATGGTAAAGAAAAAACGGACAGTGGTTTATTGTAGATATGCAAATTCATAACCATTGTAAATTTTAGTTGTTAGTACGCTTGCTTATCGGTACCAGTATATTCATTTTTCACGTTAACCTGATACAAAACAAACAATCATCACAAGTGGCATCGTAAAGGTGACTGACCATTACCAAATAAAAATTTACCTGAGCGTATTTGGTCAGATAATTCCTGACAGTTCGTTCGGCACAAGTCTTGTCGCTGACACATCTCTGGTATGCTGATGAAAAACCAAAATGTAGTATATATATTATAAGCTCATTGTTGTTATTTATTATTTTGATAAATTGTAAAAGTATTTTGATTTTTTTTTTAACGATACTCGTATATATAAAAAATTGTTTGAAAAAACTAGACTTAGAGTGTATTTTAAGTTTAGAATTTCGTAACTACTCAGAACGTACTTATATGTACGATATCTACATAAAATTCGTTGCATAACTCTTTTAGATTCGGTGCGTAGTTACTAGCGAGGGGTCTATTGGTTTCACTATGATATGCGTGCACGTTAAATGTTTACGATTTTCGTCAAAATTTGATACTCTTATGAAAAATAGTTCTACTTTACACTTCATTTTTTTTTTACCACTTAGTATTATTTATGTTAGACCACCTGTTAAATTTTCAAGCATTTTTTTTTGGTTAAATTTTTTTATCTACCTAGAACCTTCCAAATAAAAATTATGGTTTTCTTAATCACGAACTGATTAAAAAATGCAATAAAAAAAAAGTCTCGTTGTTTTTCTATTAAAGCAATAATTCTGGTAGAAAACCTAATGCGTACAAATTTAAACTAACGAAATCGTTAAATTTATTCTCTTTCCAGTTTTAGATTCTGTGTGGAGTAAAGAAGCTTTTAGTTATACAAAGATGTTATTTTTTATTTTCTGTGAACAACTTTTTATCAGCAATTTTGCTCCAACTTTTAATGATAGCAATGT